TGGATGTATATCAGCTAACCATACTCTATCAATATTAATGTCAATATTAGTCTTCTTGTGTGATAACTCTATTGTGATTATGTGAAGGGAGTATTTTGGATCTTAGGAGATGCATGCTTCTGGGTTTGTGGGTGTCTACCTGCTGTTTATGGGTGTCACAGTGTCCACAAGTGATGCGTAAATGTTTCAGTGAGAGAGAGGAAGAGTGAGCAAGTGCACTCAATATGGAAACAATTGATGAATCTTTAGAAAGTGAGAGTGTCCAAGACCGTGCAAGAGAGACTGCGTATGAGAGAGAGATGTATGAACATTGAGCTTGAGAGCGTATAGATGTGAGAGTGTGAGGGAGAGAATAAGAAAGAGCAAGAGAATTTGTGAGGGAATCAGGGAGAAAGAGAAAGATTGCAAAGAAGACAGAAGGCAGGGGAAGAGAAAGCATTTTGTCTCCAATGAAACTGTTAATTCCCAGAGGGCAGGGAGCCTTGCTCTGTGGTCCCAGCGTAGGAGCTGAGGTTAGAGCTTCAGAGCCGTGTCGGTGCCAGGCTGGGTGCACAGCACCTAATATCCCAGGATTAACTGGCTTGCTCTAGGCCAGCCCTGAGGTCCACGGGGCCCCTTGCACCACCGACCTGTTCGGATGCAGCCCACAGTCACCAGCCACCACTCAGGCACGTGAGGTAGAATCAAGGCCAGATGGTCTCCTTGTTGAAGGCCACAGGTCTGCGTGAAGACGTTGGCTACACGACGAGTTAGATCTGCCATCTCTCTGAAGCTCCATTTCAATTCTTCTCCTTGGCTACTCACCCACCAAAAGGCTGGGTTTGTACTTCTCTTGCCCTCCTAGTGAAGATCGTACACCATGTGTTACTTCCTGCTTCAAAGGAAAAGGACACTCTTTTGCCTAATCTACTACCATGGTCACATTTCATAGCTCAAGGACTCAGATCCCATTTTAAAGCATTTACAGAACCAAGACAAACTAGAGAGTGGGGCGGGATGCAGCAAGCTTCTCTGGCCTACTGTAGCCACCTCCCTCAACCAACATAATACCGTAAATCACCTTTATGTCTCGATTGGAGAGTTAAAACTCCATTACAACATGTGTCTGTCTTAGTCCCATATAAATAGTGGGTTACTCTCTGTGCCTCATTTTTCTCATCTATAAAATGGGGACAATAATACCACCTAAAAGGTAGTAAAGTTTAAATGAGTTACTTAAATGAGTAAAGCACATAACAGTTCCTGGCACATAGTGGGTGCTCAATAAATATTATTATTACTATCATAACAAAATAAAATTTAAAATAATAACTTAATTGCTAGTATTTTTGAATTTTTTAGAAAACATTAAGGTACTTCTACAGGTGAAGACAGCAAAATAGCAGACTGGGAAGCTCCGGGTCCTTTTTCTCCCATAGTAACATCAAATAAAAAACAACAGATGAACTACAATAGCTTTGTGGGAGCTCTAGAAACCAGCCAAGGATCTGCAGCAGCCAAACAAATGCCCTAAACATGAGAAAGCCATACTGAAAATAGTAGGAAATTTTGTTATGCTTTTGCTTGTCATTGTCCTACCCCCTCCCTGGTGTGGTGCAGTGCAGTCAAGAGGAACCCACTCAATTCCTAGCCCCTGTCTTGGGACAGAAGTAAAAGAGTGGAACTTGTGTGCAATGTTTTGGCTTGCCCAGGGGCTGCCTGAGGGACAGGTTTTTGTCTTGCTTGACTTGGAGGTCAAATGGAAACAAAGGCATGGTTTGAATATTAGGTTGAAAGTCTCTGAAAGCATTGGCAGGTGCTATGGTATGTGAAAAACTTCAGACCTACAGGCTCTTGGAGGCAAGAGACTATGAAAGAGGAACACAGTAGAACATCTAAGGCCCTGAGAAGAAGCAGGGATGAGACTTTTAGGGAAATTAAGAAATGCAAATGCAGTTACGTATATGGGAAAATTGGGGGGCAGGGAGGGAGACACACACACAGGCCCAGGAAAGATAAATGCCAGAAAGGGCCTGAGATGACCTTAAGCCTTTACACCGAAAATATTGGTGGAGGTCTTCCCCTGCGTGGGGCTAGTTTGCAAGACTGAGAGAAATGACCATTTTTTTTTCAAATGTCTAACTTTCAATAAAATATCATAAGGCATAAAAGGAACAGAAATTGATGGTTTGTTCAAGGGATAAAAATAAATCTACAGCTACCAACCGTAAAGAAAATAGGCTTCAATTATTAGACAAAGATTTTAAACAACTGTCTTAAATATATGCTCAAAGTGTTAAAGGAAAACACAGACACAAACCTAAAGTAAATTAGAAAAACTACATAGGAACAAAATAATAACATCAACAAAGAGTTAGAAATTATTTTTAAAAGATCCAAACAGAAATTTTGGAGCTGAAAAATATAGTAACTAAATTGAAAATTCACTAGAGGGGTTCAATAACAGATTTAAACAGGTAGAAGAAAGAATCAATAAACTCGAAGAGAAGTCATTTGAAATTGTTAAATCTAAGAGAAAAAAGAATGAAGAAAAATGAACAGGACTTAAGGTAATTATGGGACACTATCAAGCAGACCAATACACACATCTTGGGTGTTGTATTAATAGAAAAAGAAGACAGAGAAAGAAAAGGACATAGAGCTTATTTGAAGAAATAATGTCCCCAAACTTCCAGAATTTGAGGAAAGACAAATATAAGAAGCTCAACAAACACTAAGTAGGATAAATCCAGACTCCTACAATGTACATTGCAATTAAACTGTGAAAGCGAAAGCAAAAGAGATAATCTTGAATGCAGCAAGGGAAAGCAACTCATCATACAAGAGACCTTTGATAAGATTATTAGTGGAAGAAAAATGGCGGATTAGAGACCAGCAGACCTCCTGGCTGTCTGCTCCCAGAGTAGGAGGTGAAGAACACAGACAGCTACACACGAGTGGATCGCTCTCCAACAGGAACAGCATCATGAATCTGCAGAGAAGCAGTGCGGGACAAGCAGCGCTGGAAAAAAAAGGTGAATCGGAGAATTGACCGCAAAGTCTGGAGAGTGCTAGATACACAATAGGGAATAGAGTGCAGGACAGCTGCGCCCGTTGGCCGGCCAGGGCAGTGGGATCTGACCCACAGGAGGACGACTCTTCCTCCATTGACCTCCACATCCACTCCGGCAGGGAAGCGTCTGAAGTCAGTGCGAAATTGTGGCACGGGGACAGGCTGTGTGGAGAAGAGACGTTAGCGGGAAACATTTTGAACTCTCCAGTGCTCTGTGCTAGGTCCGCACTGGGCTGGGGAGGCACTGGTCTGAGTGGACGCTTCCCGGGTCCACAGGAGGGAGTTTGGAGACAAGCATCTCACCTCTGGCAGTGACCGGGACCAGAACAAAGGAGGGAAACGCCAAAAGGGAGGCTCTGCCCCTGGAAACCACGCAGGGTGTGGGACAGAGAGTGCAGGACCCCTACTGGACTGGCGTGAGATAGTGCGCATCAGGGACAGCTGGCGGCTCACTGAGACAGCCTGTTAAACCCAGCACCCGCTGCCCCCTGAGCAGTCGCCTCCAGGGCTGGTCCTCTGTGGGTGGGCAGCCGCCATTTTGGTGGTCCATAGCCTAGAAACGCTGTGGCGCATTGCGGTTCTGGACACCACCCCTTCCCCAGCCCAGCAGGGCAAGCCCAGGCAATGGTCTCAGGTGGTGCCCCTGCCCCTGCGCAGCAGAGGAGGCCCTGCCCTTGGAGGAGGGGAGTAACGAGAGAAGTTGCTTTCTGAACATTCCTCCCCCAACCTGGCTGCTTGCCTTTTCCCGCCAGCAGGACAAACCTCACCCTCGGAGGGACAGAGTAATGAGAGAAGCGGCTTCCTGGACTGAGATGCCGGAGGCCTCCGGCAGCACCCCTCCTTCAGCCTGGTGGCTTGACTTTCCCTCCAGCAGGGCAGACCCCGCCCTTGGGGGAGGGGAGAAATGAGAGAAGACGTTTTCTGGGCTGGGACGTGTGGCGATCTCAGGCTACGCCCCTCCCCCAGCCCGGCAGGGCAGACTCTGCCCTTGGAGGCAGGGAGAGGGGAGAAAAGTTGTTTTCTCTGTGTGACTGGCGTCAATCTGTGGGACCTTGGAACTAAGCAAAAGGGGGCAGACTGTTGATCCAGTCCAGTGGGTTGGTTTTGATCATCTGATAAGAACATAACATTAAGGCTCGCTCTTGGCACCCAAACTGCTGCCAGCTTTGGGGCTTGTGGTCTGGGAAGGAAAATCCTGGCCAGAGTCCTCAAAAATTGCACCACCTGACACCCCCACCTGACAACCCCCACCTGGAGCTGCCTCGCAAGTGTGGTGAAAGAGCCCTGAATAACATATTAGCAGCTCTCCTCTAGCAGCAGATCAAGCAACCACAGAAGTATACACTCTCCGGCTCGCAGGTACCTGTTGCCTTTACCCCACCTAAAGTGGCAACAGGGCTCAAGTAACCCTTGGGAGTGACAAGACATTTCCCAAAGATCGGGGCACTTGTATATCCCATTCGGGGGTTTAGAGCCCAACACAAAGGCATTGGGATATCTTGATAATTCACTCCTCTACGCAAACTACAAGCAATAAAAGAAAGGGTAACCCCATAGCTCAACACAGTGCCTTCCATCTTAAACTAGTGGAGGGCAGTGGAGTCACACACACAAGAGTTATTCACTGCCTGGGAGCTTAAGCAAGGGGTCCAAACTCACTAATCTCCTCTGGCAAGAGGTGAAGACAACAGATCAGAGATAACTCAGCAAGCTAAAACACCTCTAAGCAATTCAGGACCAGAGCTCTGTCAAGGAACATCCCTTTTGGGGACTTGGAGATAGGGCCATAAACCAGCCCCAGCACCCCCAGTTCGTGACAAAGTAGCCTGATGAGAAAGAATCAGTGAAAGAACACAGGAAACATGAAAGATCAGAGAGAAAAGTCTCCCCCAAAAGGAAACATTTGATCTCCATCAATAGATACCAACTTACATGATATGATTAAACTGACAGAGTAAGAATTTTGATATGGATTATAAGAAAACTCAATGGAATTGAAGAGAAAATAGAAACCCAACATAAAGAAGCCACAAGAAAGATACAGGAAATGAATGAAAAATTCTCTAAAGAAATTGAAATACTATGGAAAAACCAAACAGAAATCTTAGAAATGAAGGAGGCATTCAAGGAACTTCAAAACACAGTGGAAAGCCTCAAGAACAGAATGGATCACACAGAGGAAAGAATCTCAGAGCTTGAAGGTAATGCCCATGTGCTAAACAAATCGGATGAAGAAAAAGAACACAGAAACAAGAGACAAGACCAAAACATACAAGAAATGTGGGATTATGTAAAGAAGCCAAATATAAGAATCATAAGCATACCAGAGAGAGAGAGAGAGAGAGAGAGAGAGAGAGAGAGAGAGAGAAGAAACTACACAAGGGCTGGAAAACTTATTTCATGGAATACTGGAGGAAAATATGCCTGGCCTGGCCAGAAATCTAGATATCCAGATACAAGAAGCACACAGAACTCCTGGGAGACTCAACGTGAAAAGCAGTCACCATGTCACATAGTTATTAGGCTGACCAAATTAAACACAAAAGAAGCAAATCTTCGAGCAGTGAGGCGAGAACAAAGGAAACCTATCAGACTAACTGCAAACTTCTCAACTGAAATTTTACAAGCCAGGAGGGACAGGGTGCCTATCCTTAATCTTCTAAAACAGAATAATAGCCAACCTAGAATTCTCTACCCGACAAAACTAAGCTTCATCTATGAGGGAGAAATAAAGACCTTCCCAGACAAGCAATGATTGATGGAATTTGCAAAGACCAGATCAGCCCTACAGGAAGTACGCAAACCTGCATTATACATTGAACAGTGGAATAGACACTCTCCAAAGTAAAATCACTCAAGAGTTAAAGTCTAGAACCTGGATTCCACGATGGCTGAAGGAGTAAAACAAAACAATAGGAATTCACCCAACAATATGAATGGAAATCTACCCCAAATATCAATCCTCTCAATAAATGTGAATGGCTTGAATTGTCCTCTGAAGAGACATAGACTGGCAGAGTCAATAAAAATCCACAAGCCTAGTATCTGCTGTCCACAGGAAATTCATCTAACCCACAAAAATGCTTTCAGGCTCAAGGTCAAGGAATGGAAAACAATCCTCCAGGCAAATGGAAGCCAAAAGAAAGCAGGGGTAGCTATACTTATTTCAAATAACATAAGCTTTAAAATAGCAAAAATAAGAAAGGACAAAGATGGCCACTATATAATGGTGAAAGGGAAGATCCAATGAGAAGACTTAATAATCTTAATATTTATGCACCCAACTCAGGAGCACGAGATACGTAAAGCAAAGCCTGTTTGATCTAAATAGCATGATAAACAATAATGCCATAGTAGCCAGGATTTCAACACTCCACTGAATGAACTAGACAGATCCTCCAAACAGAAAATAAGCAAAGAAATAATGGACTTAAACAGAGCTCTAGAACAAAAGGGTCTAACAGACCTCTACAGAACATTCCACCCAAATAAAGCCGAATATACATTCTTCTCATCAGCTCATAGAACTTTCTTCAAAATTGATCAAATACTAGGCCACAAATCAGACCTCAACAAATTTAAAAAAAATGGAAATCATACCATGTATCTTCTCAGATGACAGTGGTATAAAATTAGAGTTCGATTCCAACAGAAATACTCACCACTTCACAAAGTTATGGAAATTAAACAATCTATTGTTGAATAACTATGGGGTCAAGGAGAAAATACACAGGGAAATCAGAAGATTCTTCGAACTAAATGATAACGGGGACTTGAGTTATCAATATCTGTGGGATACAGCAAAAGCATTCCTGAGAGGAAAACTAATAGCATTAAATGCTCACATCCATGAAACAGAAAGCTCAAATACAACAAACTAATAAACAGTCTCAAGGAACTGTAAAAGGAAGAGCAAATCAATTCCAAACCTAGTAGAAGAAAAGAAATAACTAAGATGAGAGCAGAACTAAATGAAATTGAGAACAAAAGATCTATACAGAAGATCAACAAAACCACAACCTGGTTCTTCAAAAAGATAAACAAAATTGACAGCCCTCTTCCTAGATTGACAAGAACTCGAAGGGAAAGGACTCTAATAAACTCAATTAGAAATGAAAAAGGAGAGGTCACACAGACACCACAGAAATACAAAACATTATCTTTGAATACTATAAAAACCTACATGCCCCAAAACTACATACTGTGGAGGAAATGAACAAATTCCTGGAAACATACAACCTCCCCAAGTTCACCCAGGAGGAAATAGAATTCGTGAACAAACCAATATCAAGCACAGAAATTGGAGCAGCAATTAAAAACCTTCCAAAAAGGAAAAGTCCCAGACTAGATGGCTTCACTCCCAAGTTTTACCAAACATACAAAGAAGAACCCATACCCATACTACAGAAATTATTCCACAACATTGAGAAACATGCTATCCTCCCTAACTCACTCTACGAAGCCAATATCATCTTGATACCAAAGCCAGGAAAGGACACAACAAAAAAAGAAAACTACAGACCAATATCCCTCATGAATATAGATGCAAAAATCCTCAAAAAAATTTTAGCAAATTGAATCCAACAGCATATCAAAAAAATAATTCACCATGAGCAGGTGGGCTTTATACCAGAGATGCAAGGCTGGTTCAACATACGCAAATCTATAAATGCAATTAACCTTATAAATAAAAGCAAGAGTAAAGATCATATGATTCTCTCAATAGATGCAGAAAAAGCATTTGACAAAGTCCAGCACACCTTTATAAAAACTCTTAATAAAATAGGTATAGACAGGACCTACCTTAAAATTATCAAGGCCATATATGATAAACCCACAGCCAATATTGCACTGAACGGGGAAAATTTGAAACCATTCCCACTTAGTACTGGAACCAGACAAGGTTACCCACTATCTCCACTTCTATTCAACATAGTGCTGGAAGTCCTTGCTAGAGCAATTAGACAAGAGAGGGGAAATAAGGGCGTCCAAGTGGGGGCAGAAGAGATCAAACTCTCACTGTTTGCTGATGATATGATATTATATCTAGAAAACCCCAAGGATTCAACCCGGAGACTCCTGGAATTGATAAATGAATTCAGTAAAGTCTCAGGATACAAAATCAATACACACAAATCAGAGGCATTCATATACATCAATAACTGTCAAGCTGAAAATCAAATAAATAATGCAGCACCTTTTACAATAGCCTCAAAGAAAATTAACTATCTAGGAATATATTTAACGAAAGAGGTGAGAGACATATACAGGGAGAATTACGAAACACTAAGAAAAGAAGTTGTAGAAGATGTAAACAGATGGAAAATCTACCTTGCTCACGGATTGGCAGACTCAACATTGTTAAAATGTCCCTACTATACCCAAAGTGATCTACAGAATTAATGCAATCCCTATCAAAGTACCATCATCATTCTTTACAGATCTAGAAAAAATACTTCTATGCTTTGTATGGAACCAGAGAAGACCTCGTATAGCTAAAGCAATCTTAAGCAAAAAGAACAAACTGGGAGGTATCAGTCTACCAGACTTCAAGCTGTACTACAAGGCTATAGTAACTAAAACAGCATGGTACTGGCACAAGAACAGAGATTTAGACCTTTGGAACAGGACTGAGAATCCAGAGATGAAACCATCCGCATATTGTCATCTAATCTTTGACAAACAGACAAAAATATACACTGAGGAAAAGAATCTATTTTTAATAAATGGTGCTGGGAAAACTGGATAACTACATGCAGAAGATTGAAACTGGATCCCCACCTCTCGCCTCTTACAAAAATCAATTCACGATGGATAACAGACTTAAACCTAAGACATGAAACCTTAAGAATCCTACAAGAAAATGTAGGGAAGACTCTTTCAGACATTGGCTTAGGCAAAGAATTTATGAAGAAGACCCCCAAAGCAATCACAGCAGCAACAAAAATAAGTAAATGGGACCTGATCAAATTAAAAAGCTTTTGCACAGCCAAGGAAACTATCATTAGAGTGAATAGACAGCCTACAAAATGGGAGAAAATATTTGCTTTCTACACATCCAATAAAGGGCTGATAACAAGAATCTACCTGGAAGTCAAAAATATCAACAAGAAAAAAATCAAACAACCCCATCAATAAATGGGCAAAGGACATGAAAAGAAACTTTACAAAAGAAGACAGAATAATGGCCAGCAAACATATAAAAAAGATGCTAAACATCTCTAATCATTAGAGGAATGCAAATCAAAACCACAATGAGATATCACCTAACCCCAGTGAGATTGACCTTTATCAAAAAATCCCAAAACAACAAATGCTGGTGAGGATGTGGAGAGATAGGAACACTCTTACACTGCTGGTGGGACTGTAAATTAGTACAACCTCTGTGGAAAAGAATTTGGGAATACCTCAAAGAGCTAACAATAGAAATACCATTTGATCCAGCAATAGCACTGTTAGGCATCTACCCAAAAGAACAAAAGACATTCTACAATAAAGACATCTGCACAATTCACTATTGCAAGGATGTGGAAACAACACAAGTGCCCGTCAATCCATGAGTGGATTAATAAAATATGGTACATGTATACAATGCAATATTACTCAATTACAAAAAACGATGTTGATCTAGCACCTCTTATATTTTCCTGGATAGAGCTTGAACACATCTGCCAAAGTAAGGTATCACAAGAATGGAAGAATAAGCACCACATGTACTCGCCATGAAATTGGCACTAACTGATCAACACTAAGGTGCTCACATGGTAGTAATATTCTTTGGGGGTTGGGGGTTGGGGGTGGGTAAACTCACAACTAATGGATGTGGTGAGCATTGTAGGGGGGAAAGGGCACACCTCAAATCATGGTTTGGGTGTGGCAAAATCATAACATGTAACCAAAATGTTTTTACCCCCATAATATCCTGAAATAATAATAAAAAAAGATTATTAGTACATTTCTCAGCACAAATCTTGAAGCCAGAAGGCAGTTCACAGATGAAACCACAGAAAAGTGAGGAAATGGCCAGGTTTGCAATTGAACCCTGAAGTATAAGCTTCGTTCACAACACTGATAAGTTGAGGCAGAAGCGATCCTTGGTTTCACATCTGTCACCCTAGCAGGATCAAGATAAGGAGAGTGAGGCCATCCCTGTTCTCACCACCCCATCACAGATGCCCCCTTACCTTCTCCATCTGAGCCCAGTAGTCCAGCACAGAGTTTGCAAAGTTAAATTCCTCAGGCACCTCATGGTCATTCCATCTTGCAGCTCCAGCATTGGATGAAGACTGGCAGCGCACCTGCCAAGGGGCAGGGTGGAAGCCATAGGAGGATTTGTGGATGGCCCTGAAGACCCGGAACCTTATCAGCCACTGCATGGTGGAACAGTCCTCAGGAAGCAGCTCAGAGTTCTCAAGTCACCGCCTGCCTTGGGAAGAGATAGCTAATTGGTTGGTTGCATAGCAGGGACTTTCTCCACAAAATGGACGCACATTTCTGGTTAGTCGTTAGAGTTACAGCTTTGTTTCAGCTCACCAGCATCTGGAAAGTGCAACTCATTGGTTTAGGTAAGGCTTTATTGTCACAGCTAAAGAACCATGAGGCAGAAAATGCTGAGGAGGGGCTGTAGCTACTATGCAAAGTTGGTACACATTCCCAGGAGGTCATCTTCTCCTTCAAGCCCACTGGGATTGAAGCCCAAGATGGCAGCCATGTGGCCATTCCCTTTGTGGTAAAAACTCAGCATTTTGAAAGTTCTGTGCCCGGTGCTGTCCTTACTTTGGAGACCTTTCCCCCTGCCAAGCCCAATCATGTTGTTCCCACGGACGTTGTCATATCCTTAGATGATTTCACCCTCCAACTAAAGTGGACTGGTTAGGGGTTGAACAGTCATTTCCCATGACTTTTTTTTTATGACAAAGAATTTTTTATTTTTAACCTTTTGCTTGTGTAGGTAATTCGAGAAACAGTAAGCTGCAACAAATAGAAGGGCTTATTTCTTTGACATTAATTAATTTCTCCAATAAGATCTAATTTCTTATGCATATGCAGAAAAAAACGCAATGCAAACTTTAAAGGGAAAATCATTGAGAGAAAATATTAAATGATACTTCAAGATTTTGTAACTTCTGTATTCCATCAAACATTATTTCTTGAAATTCTACTTATTTAAAAAAAAAACTCCTCCACTAAAAAATAATTTAATGGGTTCCATTATTATAGGTGTCTTCCTTAAAATACTAATTCATTGTTTTTCCCAAAGACAGCGGAAATAGCCCCTTAATAAGTGGCTAAAGACCAAAACAAAAGGGAGAGATATAATGAGGAATTCTATTAACCCTTTATTATGAGCTGAATTGTGTTCCCAAAATGCATATGGTGAAGTCCTAACCTTGATATTTCAGAATGTGACTGTATTTGGAGATTGGGTCTTTCCAAAGGTAATTAAGAGTTTCTGCATAGAAAAGGAAACAGTCAACAGAGTGAAGAGGCAATCTATGCGATGGGAGAAAATATTTGCAAACCATACATCTGACAAGGAGTTAATATCCAATACATATATATGTAGTATATTGGATATATACATAAACTCAAACAACTCAATAGTAAGAAGACAAATAATCCAATTAAAAATGGGCAAAGGATCTGAATAGACATTTTAAAAAAGAAGACCTACAAAAGGCCAACAGGTATACAAAAAATGTTCAAAATCATCAGAGAAACACGAATTAAAACCACAATGAAATATCATCTCATACCTCTTGGAATTGTTATTATCAAAAGGACAAGAGATGATAAGTGTTGGAGATGATGTGGAGAAAAGGGAACACTTTTAAAGAGTATAAGGATATATTGTTGGTGGGGATTTAAATTATTATAGTGAGCCATTATGGAAAACCGTATGGAGGTTCCTCAAAAAATTAAAAATGGAACTACCATATGAAACAGCAATCCCTTTACTGGGATATCCAAAGGAAATAAAATCAGTATGTTGGAAAGATATCTGCACATGCATGTTCACTGTGGCACTATGCATAACAGCCAAGATGTGGAATCAGCCTAAGTGTCATCCATCAATGGATGAATAGATAAAGAAAATATGATATATATACACAATGGAATACTATTAAGCCTTAAAAGGGAAGAAATCCTGATATTTGCAACAACATGAATGAACTTGGAGGACATCATGCTCTTCTATAAGTGCTCGCTACTCAGGAGTCACACAGCTGATTGCCCTAAAGATTCTTAGCTTTCTTCCGTGCTCCCATAGAGCAATGACCCTTGTGAAACCTAAGGCTAGTGTTTGAGATATCTTCCAGTCTCTTTAGTCCAGTCGACCAACCGACCCAACCAGACCAGTGGCTCATACCAAGGAACCAACCCAACTGTCATGTTACCTGGAAGCAGACTCAGCACGAGAAGACAATTTCAGTTTCCTGACTCTATGAGTTCATCCCCAGCCAATCAGCAGACCCGATTCCCTATCCCTTTGCCCACCAAACTAGCTTTAAAAACCCTGGCCCCAAATTCTTGGGAAGATGGATTTGAGAAATTCCTCCCATCTCCTCACATGGTACTGCGAGATATTAAACTCTTTCTCCACTGTAACTGCTGCTGTCTCAGTGTACTGACTTCCTCTTTTTTTTTTTTTAATTTCAGCATATTATGGGGGTACAGATGTTTAGGTTACATATGTTGCCCTTGCCCCTCCTCTCCCCTCAACTCCCCCCTCCCCAAGGCTTCCTCTTGGGCAGTGGGCAATGAACCTGGTTGGATGGTAGCACTGACACCCTGCCCCCTCACATCAGTTGGGGGATGGGTGCTTCATGCAGCCCCAGGAGGCTCTGTTGCTTTTATGCCAGAACCCGCTTCTTTTTAGAGTACTCAGACCCTGGATGGATGTAGCAGATGGAAAGACACCCAAAAATAGGTAGAAAAAAGTGACTAAAAAAAGTCTTGACTCATCAAAAAGCTGATCTTTGTTTCTGTCTATGAATACCCTGCTCTCCTGACCAAACCTCCCTTCTCAGCTCTTTTCTCCCCTGCACATCCCCTTCTGTGGGCAGACAGACTCTCCTGGTGTCCTGATCAAAAGTAACTAAAATGAAGCAAGAGGTTATTTCTGTTCATAGTCCACACAGCTTGTTTGCAGTGCCTGGGCTGACTGCCCCTGGATTGATGCCAGCTTTGGTCTCTTGCCCTGCCCCTGCTGCTTAAACATTCACCCTTTTGGTTGTTTACTTGAACCCTGTTAGGTGCTTCCACAGACATTATCTACTTGAATCTCTACTGCATTCTTACAGTGATGTTGGATCGCTCCCATTTCCTGGATAAGGTAAATGAAGCTCAGAGTAGGCAGGGCAGGAGTAACAGAATTAGAACTTGAACTCATAGGCTTCAACTCTAATAGTTAGATACTTTTCCCACTGACCCTTGGCTCCTTCCTTTTGGGTAAGATGACACTCAGTATTTGCCCTGCTTGCTGAGTTGTCCTCATGGTTCCATCCTTTCCTTCTCTTCCTACTCACACATTTCTCAAACTTCAGTCATCCGTAACTCACCTGTATTTATTTGTTTACTTATGTATTTACTATAACCATACACTATTTTACCACTCTTCTTACTTACTCAATAGCTTCTTACATTGCTTCCCTTAAAAATTTCTAATGGAAAAAAATGGAAAAAAATTTGTAATGGAAAATCCATTAATGGACATGAAATTCCAAATCCCTACTATAATTAAAAAACAAGCTACAAGCGTGCCCATCCCCCAGACAGTGCACTCTGCACCCATTAATTACGAATTTACCCTTTCCCTCCACACCCTTCCACCTGCTCAGCACCCGATGGATATTACTTCCATGTGAACACCTATGTGTTGCTGAAATTTAAAAAAAGAAAATAAATAAATTAAAAAAATGCAAAACAGAAAACCATTAACAAAATAGCAATAGTTAGTCCTTAACTATAAATAATTATACGTACATAGATTAAACTCACTAATCCAAAGATTCAGTGTTTTAATGGATAGAAAACTAAGATCCAACTACTTGCTATCTACAAGAGGCACACTTTAGATTTAGTAGCTGGAAGGAAATAAAGATTTGAGCAGAAATTCTTCATTTAAGAAGAAATGAAGTTGTATACCTTAAATATATATAATGTTTATTTCCCAACACCACCTCAATAAAGCTGGAAAAAAATCAAGTTTTACGTACCACAAACAGATGAAACTAAAAGTGAGCACGATGAACCACAAATGTTGAGGTTATTGTTTCCCATGTGAGTCTTGTTGCCTGCCAAGTATTTGAGACTAGTCTTGTTCTCTTTTTGGTAAAGGCGAGACTAAGTTTTTATCAGATATTTATTGCTGTGATAACATTGTATAACAAACAACTCTCAAATCTCAGTGGCTCACACCAGCTCATTCATTTCCCTCTCACCAGTCTGCAGGTAAGCTATAGGTTGAGTTTGAGTCTGTTCTGTGAGGCTTTCAGTTTGAGACCTCCTGACTCACCAGGGCATGCTCCCCCAATGAAGACAGCAGATGCACCCACACATCAAGTTGAACCATAAGCATGTTTAAAAATTCTGCTTGCAATTTATACCCTCTAACACTCTAGTGGCCAAAACAAGCTAGGCTCAAGCCCAACCTCCATGGAACAGAGAACTACTTTTCTCCCTTGGAGTGGGGTGTGGAGCAAGTAGAGAGTGAGTATTTGCTGCGTAAAAAATATTCTCTACCACAAAGGAGAGGAAGACATAGAAGCAGCAAAACGAAACTTTCAGCTGACTAAATTGAAGAGGACTGGACTAATCTCAATTCCTGTCCTGCTGGTTAGCTTGCTGCCATTCTGAACAAAATCCGGGTCTGTTTAGCGAGAAACAAGGTTGCATGCAGGTGCTTGTAGGGGATGGCTGCTGGGTGGGGGAAAGGAGAGTTGGGGACAGGTATTTAAGTCTCTCCTTCACAAGTCACCAACCTGATTCTGTATCTTTTCTTTTGCTCCTTCTCCCCATTCATTTTTATTAAAAGGGTGGACTACACTGGCTTCTCTTATTTCTTTCCATTTCTCCATGGTAAACCCACAACTATCAGTCTTCTATCCCCAATTAATCAACTGAACTGTTTTTCTTCCTCTTTTGATAACCCTAATGTTCTTGCTGCCAAATGCAATGGATCCTTTTTATTAGTTCTTACCCTTGGCTTTTCTTGGCAATGCTGACAATTCTTCTTGAATTGTTGTCTTCTGTCTTTCTGTTGTCACCCCTGCTTTTTCTTCTTTGCTGTAAATAGTGTCTGTGAAATTCTCTTCCTCTGTCTACCCTTTATATATGATTGTCCTCCAAAGACCCATCCTCGGTCAACAGTTCCTCCCATTCCGTATGCAATCTGTGCCCACCTCATTCTCTCCCTGTATGAGGCTAATTCCCTAAAATGCATTTAAAACCTTGACCTCTGTCTGGTTGCAACCTAAATATCTAACTGATTACTAAGTAAATTTACTAAATGAATATTGTTTTACATTGATACACTAAGTAAGTCACAAATGAACCCAGTTCCCACCTCAAAACCTGTTCAACCCAGATAGCCTTAAATGACAGACCCAAGTTTATGTAATCAAAACCTAGACATCATCTTTCAATTACTCCACCTCCCACATTTAGTCATTAAGTCGCCAATTGTAGGCAGAAGGAGTTCTCCTTCTAAGCATTTCTCAAATTCCCCTTTAATGTAATCAATATTCAGCTATCAGGGTAATCATTTCAAAATGCATTGTTGATTGAGTTCATTACTCTTCTTAAAATACCTTTCATGACTCATCTTTACCCTTCAGATGAAGTCAAACTCTTTATCATGTGGTAAAATGACCGCCGCCTCTGTCATTCTACAAGTTGAATCTGATCCTAAGATGGAATGTAAAGGTGACTTCCTTTCTCCAGGATACTAACGTAGAAGTTCCCTGGCTGTTCTTGGCAATGCTAATCAATTCTGCAGTGACTGTAGGACACAGAGCATAAATTACTTGCAAGAATAAGAACTGAGAATGCCAGGCACAGAAATTCAGTAGGAGGAACCACTCCTTGGTTCCGTTCTCTCACAGCCCTCACGATTTCTTTCCCGGGAGGTCACTATGTTGATGCTGAACTTAGTGCAGACAATGGATTGGCACAGCGCACGACAACCCACAACTCCTGGGCTCCAGCAGTCCTCTTGCCTCAGCCTCCCGAGTACCTGGGACTGCAGGTGCATTGCCACCACACCTGGCCTCTGTTACCACTCTTAGCAGTTGTTTGCACTGTTTGCTCTCAGACCTTAGCTTTTCTGCTCTTATTATACTACAGAATTAATAGAAAAGCAAAATATTTCTTCAGTCTGCCTTGCTGTCAAAGTGCAAAACTGAAAGGAGACTGACCGGTGCTCAGCCTTCAGCCTGGGTCCCAGAATGATAAAACAAGTGGAGTTGAGCTGAGCTCAGCATGGCTACTGCCAACCCACGGACCCATAAATAGAGTTACAAGCTATAGAGATGTTTGGGATATTTGTGACTGTAGCAAATGATGATGAATACAAGCAGCATCTACTTTTTAAAGTTGAATCCTGACTGATACATCTTAAATACTATGCACCAAGAGCACAGGGCCTAACACCATACTTCAGAAATTACAGCTGTTGCAATTGTTGTTTCCATATACATTGCTTGCAGGGAGTATAGTTTCAAGACTGGTTTTGATATCTGCTATGTGCACCCTGGTGAGGTTGTAGAATTTAAGTCTAATGATGTTTGATTTAAGGAATTCACCCAGCAGTCCAGCCAGTTTGTTAATTCCCATGCCCTTTTGTCTAGGAAGCAGCAGCCAGAATGCTCAAGGTGTCTGACAATTCTGTCTCCTCTTTCATTTTCTATAGTATAGGAAGTTGGTATTCTATAGAATACCACCAGCTCCTGGGCAGGAATGTGTATTGCCTTTGCACCTGTAGGTCCTTCTCTCTTTCCATAACTGGCTCTTTCTCATTCTTCCAGCCTCACCTCTGAGACGTCTCCTTCCCTGACCACCACCCAACTTCCAGGTCCCTTTGACCGTCCTTCTCTCAGCCACCCCAGTCCCTCACTTTCTCTGTGCTACAGGTGCCTTTCTCTCTGCCCAGTATCTCCTCACTGAGACGTGGCAGGCACCCCATTTCAAAGCACCCAGGAATTGAGATTGATTTTCTCTGGGGATTGGCACTTTCCTCAATGGCCATGACCCCTAAATATTGGTGAGTGTCATCGTGCGGCACGACCCCATCAGTCCATTCCTTGAAACAGATCTCACCTGCTGAGTCCTTTCAGGAAATCTTTCTGGGGAGAGCTTGGTCCACCCTCGGATGTCCAGCAAAGAGCCCCAGATTCCCCTGCAGCCTTGGAGGAGAGCACAGCTAATCAAGCAGACAGCTCCAGATTCTCTGCAGCCTTGGAGGGGAGCAGAGATAATCATTAACAGTGGATAACCCTGGAGTCTTGCCTGGGGTAACAGCAGTCCTCCTAGCCAAGTTCATGGGCTGCACAGCCCTAGAGCCCCGGGGGCCAACTGGACCTGCTCTTTCAATCCAAGAGACCAAAAGGAGGTTCACGGCCAGGACTGACAGTGAGTTATTGCTCCAACCAGGAAGAGAGAAATGGAGCTCAAGTGGACTTGCCGAACTCTCTCACCTCCTTTAATCCTTCCCTTCACTTGCTTCCAGCACACCACATTGGCCTGGCTTTCTTCTTACTCCCAGTCTCTTCTGCTGACTCCTCATCATCTTCTTTATCCACACTCACTCTGTACATGAGCTCGCCCATTGCCATGGCTTGGCCATCACCTGCCTTGCCAGTGACCCCACACGTGTGTCTGCAGCCTACATCTCTCTCCTGCATCCTCATCTGCTTGGTTTCTCTACCTGGATGTCTAAAAGGCCAATCGAACATGCTGCATCCAAAGCTGAGCACCTGCTATTATCCCTCCTTGCAAATCGTCCCACTCCAGCCACCTTCTCATCCATCTCAGCAAATGGCAACTCGTTCTTCTAGGTCTTCCGACATCAAACCTTGGAGTCTCCCTGACTCTTCTCTTTCACCCATGGATCTGGAAATCCCTGAGATCCACTGCGACTTATATCCAGGCTCTGACCCATTCTCTGCCCTGTTCCAAACCATCATCTTCTCTCCCCACACAGGCGTTTTGTGCCTTTGTGACAAGTTTCCCTTCTACTGCCCTCATCTCCTGTGATCTATTCTCCAGGCAGCAGCCAGAGTGAACCAGATTTGAAACTGATGTCAGATGATGGACTCCTCTGAGTAAAATCCCAAGTCCTTGCTGTCATCTACAAGGTCATTACCTCAATGACCTCTTCTCCAAAAACTCTTTCTCTTGCTTATTCTGCTCAAGAACTGCAGAATTCACACACACACTGCATGTTCAAGATGGATGGTGCAGAGGCTCACACCTGTAATCTCGGCACTTTGGGAAGCTGAGGCGGGAGGATTGCTTGAGATCAGGAGTTTGAGACCAGCCTGAGAAACCCCGTCTCTACAAAAAATAGAAAAATTAGCTGGGAGTGGTGGTGTGTACCTGTAGTCCCAGCTACTTGGGAGGCTGAGGCAGGAGGATCTCTTGAGCCCAGGAGTTTCAGGTTGCTGTGAGCTATGATGATGTCACTGCACTCTGGCTGGGGTGTCAGAGTAAGACCGTGTTTCAAATTGTTTCTGGAATTTTATTTTATTAGAATAAAAACTTAATTTAGAAAATTTAAAAATAAATAAAGTTAAAAAGATGGATGGTATACTGGGTTATAGACCAAGTTTCAATTAATTTAAAAGAATTGAAATCAAACAGAATATATTTTCTCACCATCACAGAATTAAATTAGAAATCAATAACAGTAATGTATCTAGAAAAAGGAATGCATTACATTTCATTAAATGAAACTATTTGGAAATCAAACAAAAAATTATTTGGAATGGAAATATTTGGAAATAGAACAGTGCTGCTCTGAGTAATTCATGGATTAAAGAAGAAATCACATGGGATATTAGAAAACATTTTGAATTGAATGATAATGAAAATGTAATGTAGATGCTCCTTAATTTATGATTGGTTTACATCCTGATAAACCCACAGTAAGTTGAAAATGTCATAAGTCAAACATGTATTTAATACACCTAACCTACAAAACATCATACCTTTGCTCAGAACACATACATTAGCCTACAGTTGGGGAAGATTATCTAACACAAAGCCTATGTTATAAAAAAGCATTGAATAGCTCAAGTAATTTATTGAAATTTACTATACTGAAAATGAAAAGCAGAATGGTTGTATGAGTGCACAAAGTATGGTTTCTACCAAATGCATATCACTTTCACATCACAGTAAAGTTGAAAAATCCTAAATTGAGGACTATCTGAATATCAAAATTCATGAGATATAGCTAAAGTCATGCTTAAAGGAAAATTTACAGCTTTTAATGATTACATGTGAATAGAAGAAAGAAATACAATGGCAATTGTGATTAAGTACCACTAAGGAGTATGGCAGTGTTATAAGAATATATAGGGGTAGAGTTCAGGGAAGACTTTCCAGAGGACAGAGAAACGAAAGACAAATTCAAGTGGAGAGGGAGCAGGCAGCGGGGGACCATTCTCAGGCAGAGGGAGCAGAATGCTTTAAAGACTCTGAGAGCTAAAGGGTGGGTGGGCTCTGGCCAGGGAAGAGTGGTGGTGGGGGACAGGCAGTGGCAACAACAGGTGGGAAGCCTCTGAAGGGGAAAGAAGGGGAAAATCTTGTTATATCCCAAGCTCAGGAAGCTTCGTACATCTCCCAGCTTTCATAAGTGCAATGTTGTCCAAGGGCATTCCCTAACAGAGAGGCCTCAGTCTTCGCACCAGCCTGCTGAGGATTTGCAAGAACAGGATTTGCAAAAATTTATGGGTCAGTCATCTTGGTAGCATATCGCAATGCAGAAACTTGAGCGAGGTAGCCCAATTTTACCCCAGATTTTGTCTTAGGCACCTGTAGTTTGACTTTTGAAATTCACATCAGTATGACAACAGGAAAGAACTTTTTAAAGGCATCACTGATTCCCAAGGAAAGGGTCCAGAATGCTGCAGTGTCCCAACAGAGCCCTTCCCATCCCCTGCTGCTTCTGATTCTCTCCAGGGCCTAGAAGAACTGCATTTCTTGATCAATCACCTGAGCTGCACAGAGGCCCTACACCTCAGCTCATTCACACTAAAAAATCCAAAGTATCTCTTCAAGGCCAAATGATTTTTCAGGTGACTACAAATGAGATCCAGTTTAGCTAACAAGACAGACCAGAATCACTCCTTTTGTCCGTACTCAAGAATGACTTCTTCACAATGTCCTTTCCAGATCACTTACCTACCTTAATTCCTCTCAGAGCCCGGATGAAGGAAGCAATCTCCAATCTCAAACTTTTTCTCAACGAGCTTAAAAAGCCTCCCTCCTGCAAATAAATTTCTGTGTTGAAAAGCCTGCAAGCTCTTTGACTGGAGGTTTTTGTCAATCCTGAGCTAACTAGAAAGTTATAACAGATGCCTACCAAGCTAATTCTTGCACCAGAGTGTTTACATTCACTTTGTTCTGTTCCTGGAATATTCGCTCTGTCATTCTTTTTATCCTCATGCTTCCCTATCTTCCAGATCTAGCCCTTAACCACCGAGACACACATCTCCCCAAGCTTGTGTCTGCCTTGACTCCCTGATCTCTGCCGTCTTTTGTCCTGCCAAAGAGGACCACATCGCAGGTCCTTGCAAGGGGAGGCGGGTCAACTAGGGAGGCAGGAGAGAAGAGAGGCTTTCTTACTTCGGAAATTCACCCAAACGTTACTGTTCAGAGCTCAGCAAACATTACATCCAAACATTACTATTCATGAGTGCCTTAGGGGAGTTTATCTTCAGTAATGATATCAAACAGGAGTTCATAAAATGAGATAGGCCTGAACAGCCAGGCCTTGCCTGCAGCAGCAAACAGTCTTTGCTAACAACTCAGTTCATGGAGTAAATACCGGATTGAGCCAGAGAAGTTTACCCCAGAGGGGGAAGGAAGGCAGGCAGAAGCCCAGTATTCCAGACCTGCTCTGTTAATAATCACCGTGAAGACCGTGGACCATTCCTATCTGTGAACCGAGGGAGTTGGACCAGATTAGAGTTTCTCAATATCACCACTAGTCACGTTCCAGGCCCGATAATTCTTTGTTGTGGAGGGCTGACCAGTGTGCTGCAGGACGGTTGACCTCATGGCGCAATGTTGAGAACTAAATGAATAAACGGCTTAGCAAAAGAGAAAAGATTATAGAAGATAGGTAAGATTATGATTGTGGATACCCTTGAGAGGAAGGTGGGTTCACATTCCAGTTCTGCCAGCTACTAGCTCTTGGGACCCAGGACCAAGCTACATCACCTGCCTGGGCTTCAGGATGCACAAACTTAAATGCATTAGTAATAAAATGAGATTATCTATGAAAAGGGCCTGGCATATAATAAAGGTTCAGTAAATCTTGTCCTTGTTCTCTTATTTGGAAAAGCATCTGAAAGTAGAATTGTTTGAAAACCCGAGAAATACCCAAGAAGGCAAGTCAAATTCCAACCTCAGAGGAAAAACAAATGCCAGAATAAATACATAAATTTAAAAATGCACAGTTGACTGAGTTTATTGCCCTCCTTAAATTGCTTTCATGACTTGTCATTATTCTCCAGATAAAGTCCAAATTCTTCATTACATGACACAATGACCACCACTGCCTCTGTCGTTTTACAAGTCGAACCCGATGCTGAAGTACGATTCAATGTCAATGAGGTGACTCTCCTTCTCCAGGGTACGAATGTGGAAGTTTCCCATCTATCTACACATAACAGTGGCAACTCTGGGACTTCTCATGTCATCAGCACATACACAGATGTCCTATCCTGGTTGGAGTCTGGGATCCTCTAGCGCTAATGGTTGACCTGGGAAGTTAAGAACATCCCATGCTGGGTCACGGGACTTGTCAATCATTACCTCTTGAGTCTGAGGAGTTATTGGGGTATGTCACCTGTAACAGAGGGAATGGCCTGGACAAAATGGCAAAAATATTTTCTGTCTCTTTAAAACATTTTCCACCCCTTTTTGAGAACCAAAGCCTGCGTCCCTGACTCAGGGCAGTGGTTGGAGGGGACAGGGTAAGTCTTTCGTTTATTTGTGCAACAAGGGATGGCCCGGCCCAGACCTGGTAAAGGGAGGGCCTGGGCAGAGGTCATAAGATTGTCTTCAGCAGAGATGGGATGATCAGAATTATCAACTGTAGTCGAACAATAATCACCTGAAGCTGAGAACCCATCCTTCAAAAGCTCTGTATTTCTGCGAATGTTCAGGAAATTTGGATTTTGAGATGACAAGGTCTACTATTTTACCTGC